ACCGGCCCTGTGCACAACAACGCCCGTCCCGGGGACACGCCCGCAGGAGCCCCCGGCCCTTCCCTACAGCCTGGTCTTCCGAAAGTTTTGTTCGTTAGATGTAGGGGACTCCTGGTGAGAGTTCAACAATGTCTCTCCTTCCGTTTTTTTTCTTGTAAAATGTATGATCAATCAATCGCGCACTTTCCCATCTCATTGGCGCTTTCTGGGCAGGAGCTGGACGCCCTCCAAGTCGGCGCTGCGATGGGGAAGGTGTGCGCACAGCACCCAAAGGCGTGGGGCTCAGGTTAAAAGCCTCCCATTACCGGGCGCGGCGCGGGAGCGCGAAGGAGCTGGAAGGAGGGGAGGGGGCACGGGCCTCTGGACAGGACAGGCCAGGACCCCTCGGCCTCCATCTGCCCCGTCCTCCCCTGGCTCTGCGTCTGTCCCCTCTCCTCCCGGAAGGCCTGTTTCTTTAGAAAGTCAGAGTTCGGCAGAGGGAGGGTGGGCAAGTCGGATAGGGATGGAAGACATGGAAATGGGGCCGCTGACCCTCCGTGGGTGTAAGTGTTAACTCTGCTCTCGGAAAGCACATGGTTCGATTTCTCCGGGGGCATTTCTGTTGCAAGCAATAGCACTGAAAAGTGACCGCTTCCGTTAAGATGTGTTCAAGAAAAAGTAAAAATTCCTATCAAACAGATCTTAGGCAGCTGCGATGAATGCTTTTCCTTTTCCCAGCGCCCCTCCCTGTGTAGGACCTGTAAGCGCCTCTCAAGAGCGCCGCCTAGTGACCAGTCTCCCTGCCCCCGCCCCCCTCCACCGCCATCACCCTCTTACCCCCATCATCTCGACCCCTCACCCCCACCCCCGGGGCGCGCATTCAGCATCCCTGGGTAGCCCGACAGCAGGAGGGGCGAGTGGCTCCAGCCACTCAAATTTCTAGTGCAAAATATTTTCGTGCAAAACTTTTTTGGGGGAAGAAATATTGCTGCAATGAAAAAAAATTAGCCAAAATTCATTATTTTAAATTTACATGCCATATTCCTTTTAAATAGCATTCGACACCATCAACAGCTACATTTTTTTCTAAACTATCCCAGTAAGAACGACCTCGCCTCGCTGGTGATTCATACCACCCTGTGCTCCCTCGCGGTTGGTAAGGGGCCCACACAGGGGTCCTCCGGGCTCCTCGCAGCCACTCGGCAAGGCCGCACTTGCGCAGGCGCATTGGGTGCTCAGGTGCATGAGCGTCAGCAGCAAGCCAGGCCTTTGGCTGGGGTTTAGGTTCATGAGATCTGCGAGCGGATCAGACGGTTCCTCTGTAAATTCATTCATTTTTTGCGAAGCTCTGTGCTGACAAGACTCTGGATGCCCTTCATTTTGTAGAAACCATTTTTTAGACTTTTCAACTGAAGGCAGGAGTGCACTGATTAATAATCTCTACCATCAGGATGACTCCTGGGAGCCCTCCAGTCAGCAGAAAGATGTGTATTGTTCCCAAATCTGATTGGCTAAATCAGTCGTCTGTGCTGGTTAAGGCAAAGCAAACTGCACGCAGACTGGTTTAGACGGAAACGTGATGTATTTACCCAATCACGTGCTCTCCATTTCTTTTTGTGCTTGGACTGGACGGTCTGTGAAGTCTGAAGCTATATAATTCCGTGATTGTTACCAAAACAACAAAATGCAATGTTCCTACAAAGAGCTGGAGCAAGTGAGTTACTTGCAGTCATCACTATGAATCTCACCATCTATTTTCAGGCAACAAGAGATTAATATATTTATATTAAATCATTTCATTCCCTTCTTTAGTAAGTGAACAACTTTCTACTATGAAGGCTCCAAAAGAGATGAGAGAAAATTAAGCAACAGATTATATTTTAACATTATTGGCAAAAAAAAACAACCCTAGTCATTTCTTTTGCTGGATTTGACTCAGCTTTGCTTCCTTTTGAGAAAACTATATGGGGTCAAAGAAGGAAAACTAACCAGAGAGGGAAAAGTTGTGTTTAATCTACTATAGATCTATGTTGTGAGAAGAGAAAGGTTTTTTCCCCCCAATTTATGAACTGTACAAAGCTCTAATGTTTTAACTACAAATCACTTTCTCTTTTCCATAAAGTTATCTATTTTATTTGAGATGAATATTAACTACCCTCAAAGATTCTAAAATAGATGCATATTCACTACATGTTTGATTCATTATATTTGTTCAACCATTCTGTTCCTTAATGATGCAAGTAAACTCTTACTAGAGAGAACAGTTACCTCTCATAAAGGAAAACATTATGCACTATACAGAAATATTGTTTAATGTTTGACTTGTATCGGTTACATATTTTCACTATTAATACGTTACTAGTATGCTAGGAATGTGCTAGAATCTGTACAAAGCATTGGGGAAGGCAATACTGGACCCGCCTCCCGGGGTAAGCAGACCCCCTAGCAGTCACAAGCTGCATGTTGTGGCCCGTGGTCTCTTCTGGATCAAGGAGACACAGCCCACCCAGGGCTTTCCGCAGACGCACAGCCAGCACCGGCTCTAAGCTGTTGGGTTCCCCGCCCTACGCTCCCCATGTACCTTCACACGGCAAGGCCTGGGGTCCTCCGCGGCCTGGGCTTTTCGGTGTCTCCGTTTGCTTGGGCCGCAGCCAAGCTCAGGAAGGGCTTGCAGGGAGCAGGGACTTTGCGCTTGCGCTTCTCCTTGGAACTGGTTTAGTTATAAAATCACCGAGAAAATGCCTTCGGTGCAGTGACCCTTCTCTGTCTTTCGAGGCCGCTCTGACGGCCACCAGGACGCTGAATGCAATGTCTGTGCCCCACATCCTGTCTAAAGGGCACCCCTGTTGGTTTAAAAAGCCCGTCTCCCATCGGGGTGCAGTCAGATCACCCATGTATGCTGAGGAACAACACCAATATATCTACATATGTTTTCTGGATTTTTTTCTGCAGGAGGTCAATTACAGTGGAACCTTGTTTCCTGAAACGTCTCCCATCTTGAACAATTCCCCTCTCGACCTGACAGCCCTTTCCTGCT